CACACACACACACACACACACACACACACACACAAAGGATAAAGAGTGTGCAGCTGTACCGCCATCTGGTTTCTCTGCAGCACAAGGCCACCACACCAGGAACCAGAGCAAGATGCAGGTGAAACCCAAGCGGCAGGCCCCACCCGCACCAAGCCCTTAGAAATGATGGGAAAAGGCTTTGAACATCTGCATAGCACTGGGAGGAAGGGACCCCTGACCAGGCACAGTGGTGCTCGCCCGTAATCCCAGCTGCTCTGGAGGTTGAGGCAGGAGGATGGAAAATTTGAGGCCAGCCTGGGTAATTTAGTGGGACCCTGTCTCAAAATGAAATTTTAAAAGGGTCTGGGAGCATAACTCAGTGGTAGAGCACTTGTTTTGCCTGCATGAGACCCTGAGGCTGATCCCCAGCACCACTAAATTAAATTAAAAATTAAAGAGAGGGGATCCCTGAAGAATGGAGCCAGTCCAGACTACATCACAAAGGAATAGAATCAATGGCTGTAAAGATGGGGTGGCATGAGGACTGCAAACTCGGAGACTGAAGTCCCAGGGAACAGAAGAGGAACCTGGAGATAACCTCAGGAACACCTCTCCCATTTCTTCCTTCTTCATATCTGGAATAAGGAAGGGATGACTTGAGCTTCTGCAGTCATCTTATAACAGTAAGGTGATGTGCAGAGGACAGTAGAACATTGAGTGGGAAGGTCCAGGAACATGGGACATAGCAGAGCCATCATAACCACCTAGAAAGTCTGCTGCAGGATCACTTAAAAGGAGAGAAACTCCTAATTACATTAATGTAATTAAGCCTTGTGCTCCCACTTGAGGTTTTGCATGTAAATCCTGGTTCAGAAGTCACTTCAGCCACACTAGAATTCAAAACCCATTCTGGAAAAAGTACTGGAGGAGGGCTGAGGATTGGCTCAAGTGGTAGCGCGCTCGCCTGGCATGCGTGTGGCCCGGGTTCGATCCTCAGCACCACACACAAACAAAGATATTGTGTCTGCCAAAAGCTAAAAAATAAATATTAAAATTCTCTCTCTCTCTCTCTCTCAAAAAAAAAAAAAAAAAAAGTACTGGAGGAGGTGCTTCAGCAGAGGCAAACAGCACAGCTACGGCAGCTGGTCACCAGGGAACAGGGGCCCAGACATTACCTTGGCCAGAGTGTTGCGGGATGCGCTGATGCCCTCCAACATCACCTTCACAGCCTGGGACAGGGGCTTCTGGGCACCTAACAGCATGCTGGTTTCCATCCCAAAAGCTGCCTGGGAGAGAGAAGGGCAAGGTCATGCCTGGGGAGCAGGAGGACAGCAGATTCAGGCAGAACTGGCACCACTGAGCTGGAGGGTCGACCCTGGGCTGAGGGGTTCTGTGTACCATGTCATCCACTCCTCATGGTGAGAGGTGACAGGGGACAATTCCACGGGCAGTTGTGGGGTTGAGAGCATAGGGTAACTACTTGATGGACTTGGCTCCCTCCTTGATGGGACGTGTTGGCCCCGGGTGAGGCCTTCCCTGGGTGTCCTGCCCAGCCTCAGTGAATTGCTGGAACTATCACTGGTGTTGATTCCACTTGCTGCCTCGCATGACCAGTTGCCTGACCTCCTGTCAAAGGGCTGGGCTGGGTCACTGCTGAGTCTGTGTGGCTACCAGCCGGCCACAGGCCCTGGGGGTGCAGAGAGGTGGGTCAGGAGCCAGGCAGCCTCTGCCACCAACCCGCCCAGCTCAGCCGGGCGGCCCCACACCTCTTGGGTCCCGTCTGGAGATCTCGAGAGCAGTCCCAGCCTCACAGTAGGCTGCTCTGGACATCCAAGGAGTCACAAATATGAAACTCCATGAGAAGGGGTGACCCACCCGTGGGGGCGGGCAGCAGCAGGAAGAAGGAGAGAAAGAGACCTCACCCATGTCCCCCCCAGCCCCCTGGCCTGGCATCACTCGTTACCTTGGCTAAGATGTCCATGGTAGCATAGGTCAGCATGTCCTGCATGGACACTGGGGTCTGTCCGTCTGCCTTGGCTTCTAGAATCTCCACCAGCTGCTCGGCCTTCTCGTTGAATGTCTCCATCAAGCTGACCAAGGAGCTGGGGAAACACGTGAGAATCAACGGCCACCAGCCCCACCCAGGAACTGCCCTGTGCCCCTCTCTGCAGGGAGGACACTGCAGATGCCGTGAGTGGCCTCCTACCCTCTGGCCTCTCCTCAAGGCCTGGATCACAGGGTGGGGTCACGGCAAGGGAGCTGAGCCTTGGGGTTTCACACCCCCCACCCACCCCTTAGGATGGACACTGTCGCTTTGCCCTTGCCTTAGCGGTTTCCTGGGGTCTCTTTCTGCCACTGTGACCCTCAACTCTGACTTCAAAGGGACATAGCAGCATTGAACCTTTGGGACCTCCTTGAGTCTATGTCACAGCCACCCTGGTCCCCTCCTACCCCCCTCTACAGTGTCCTCTCTCCTTACCTGGCTTGTCCCCAGGCCACCATCCTCAGTCTTTGTTGTCCCATCTCACTCCTGTCCTTGAGCAATCTCAGTGCCCAAGCCTAAGTGGAAATGAGTCCCTAGATGCCATCTGCAGCTCAGAGCTCCCAGCCCCAAGTGCTCCCCGCTGAGAGTTTTACCAAGAGTGAGATTTTATAATTGGTTTTAATATTAATCTGATAGGTATAGGTATTCTTTGTCCTATTCTTAATCTTGAATCATTCCAAATAAAAGTTCTAAAACACTAAAAGGAGAAAATGAGAGGAGGGAGACAAAACAGTGGCTTTTACTGAGGAAAGAGAATGGGCTCGTTCTCAGACTTGGCTCCTGCTCAGGACAGGCCTCTGCTGCCCGGCCCCGCCCCTGCCCTGCGCTGCACCTGCCAGGCTGCTCCTGGAAGCGGCCACTGGATCTGGTCCCAGTAAAGTGGGACTCTGAAGCCCCTGCTGCCCCAGGGGAGCCTAACTTCCCAGCTCAGGAGGCAGGGTCTGCCTGAGGCTGGCTTCCACCCCCCACCCTGCCCTCCTGTTACAATGGCTTCTAGTGCCTCGGCCGCCTCGGGGCTATATGCAGGAATCTCCTGGGCCTGGAATCTTCTCCCATTCCTCTCTTCATGACCTTCACCATCTCAAGTCCACCTGGCTCTAGATGGACAGGGTCTCCTGAGCCCCAGCCAGCCCGGTGGAAAGCTCACGGTGAGTCAAGGGCAAGAGACAGGCAGTCAGCATGGGTAATGGATGACCAGGTCGGAAAGATGGGGCTGATCATCCAAGAGAAGGAGATGGAAGGCTGATACCTCCAGAGCACGTCCCCCTCTTCAGCAGTGGCCAGCTCTAGGGCATTAGTCCTCAACACAGGGAGTTGATAGTGAGCAGCCCCGCGTGGCTCCTTTCCTGGCTTTTGGTCACGTAGGCAGGACAGGAAGGTGGGGGAGGAGGGAAACCTGAGATCTACACAAGGGCAAGACATCTGCGCCCCGACACCAGCTCTGGGTCCCGGCTTCTCTCCAGGGAAGTCCAGCTCTGTCTCCTAAATACACAGGGCCCTCCGTTACAAAGGCCCTCTCGTGCCATTGCCCTCTGTGCTTGCCTTGGCATTTCTGGGGTGTTGAATCCTCAACATGGGGGAATGAGGACTGATCCTGACTTTCAAGTCTGATATCAGATGGGGGGTTGGTAGGGGTCATCACCAAGGTAAGCTCCTCTCACCTCACAGCTTTCTGAGGTGCACTTTCTGTCTCTCTCCTTTCTGGGGGGCAATAATAGGCACTTGTTGGCTAATTAAACATGGTAACTGCAATCCACCCTTCTACAAGACTCAGATGTGAGGGTTCACAGTCTTGGTGGCTCCTAATCACCTGTCCTGTGGGTCAGGCATGTTGAGTTCTGCCAAAGCTGTTTCTTACTGTCCTGTCCAGCCTCGGAGTGAGTCTAGTGTCAGTAGACATCGTCCCTTAATCCTGGTTTGCCTTTGGAGACCAACAAAGGGGTGAGACATAACTATGAGATTCTGGCTGGGGCCACTCCCCAGTGACTCCCAGTGGGTATCCTACGTGACTGGTTGATTAGATGGTGCAGAGTGAGAACCTCAGTGACACACACCTCCAGAGAGGGAGCTGCACTCCCCACAGGCTCTTCCCAAGCACGCTTCCCCTCACTGACTGGACTCTAGCGGTTGAGAGAGGGACACTGTATGTGGAGTGGTTCGTAAGGAAGTGCCTGGGTCCCCCTTGTTCACCTATTAAGCCCTTACAAGCCTGTAGGACTTCTCCCCAGTGATGTCTCTGTGCTCTGCTAGTTTCTTTGGCTGCAAAAAGGGAGGCGTTTTTCAATTCACTTCTTCCATAAGCTCCTCAGAGAAAAGGGTGTTAACCTTCTAACAACCACTGTTCTCCTTACCCTCTGGAGATTCCTTTAGCCTGCAGAGCAGAGGACTATACCCCACTGTAGGTCATTTTTTTATCCTTGGGTCATCACATTTGGAAGTTTAATAGTGGCAGGAGGAGATCATTCATGGCTGCTAAGTGTGAGTCCTCCAGGGTCTCTGGCGTGCAATAAAACAGAGACCCTCACATCCTCACCAGCGAGGCACCAATAAATCCAACAGAACCAGGGAGAGAGAGGCGGGTTTGCTGACTGTCAGAAACTCATTTAGGGAGATGTCCCTAATGAAATGTACAATTTTCTCTGTTGTAGGAGACTGAGTTCTGTTTCTCACACTTAGATGGAGCTTCATTCTCAACAATTCTGTCAGGTTCACCACTAGACTGCACACTGAAAACCTGGGATAAGTTTGGCCTGCAGACATGCAAGAAAAAAGTGCCTCATTTTCTTCTGCCACTAAGGCCTGGGAGATGACCTAATCACAGTGGGAAAATGGAGATGTCTTATAATTTTCTGCATCCAAACCTGGCCTGACTACCAATTGGGAAATGGAAAAGAGTCTCCAAAGGACACATAAACTATAGCACCACACCTTCAGAGACTAATTTTACAAAAGGAAAAAAAAATTAAAGTACCCTATGCATGAGGTTTTTCCTCTCTTCTCCTTAGCTTTCCAACTATCTTTATCTCTCCAAGGCTTGCAGAGGTCATATCCAAAACCAGTTTGAGACCAAAGGGGAAAAAGGTGTCACTTTTAAATTCAAGGCACTGTAGTACCCAAATGGCTGTCTTATCTGCTCTTGTACTCTACCACTTGCTTTCTTAACAAGTTCCTCCCTAAACACTATAGCACAGGGAGAAAAATGGAATGATCTCATACATACAAGTCTTTTTTACCTTAAAAATCTTTACTTGAGGATTTCAGCGCTCTCATTCTCTAAATATCTGGACCAATTCTAATCTGACCCAAAAGTGCACTCTGATCTGATAAAGATGTTCTGCATGCTCTTTTACTAGAATAATTATGGCTGCGTCATTTTTTTAGAACTCCTGCAAATTTCTATATTTTTGAGCTCATGATTTTATTGTGAATTCATATTTGATCCTGCATGTCTAAATTGATATATTTTTCTGATCAGTATTATTTTATCTAGCTATAGAGATTTTTACACTCTTTATTCAGAGGCCAATTTTTCAAGAGTTAGCTTTTAAATAGAGGGGAACTTTTTCCTTTCACAAAATCCTAAGAAGAACATAGACATGGTGACATTGTGGATAAATCCAATAGCCACTGAGGTCAAGAGGCCACTTAAACCTTTGATTTCAGTGTCCACCATGTCTGTCAGACTTTGCACCTATCATTTTCAACTGTATAAGACTGCCCTATATTTAAGTCATAATGCAAAGGTCTGATAAGCTCTATTTTAATTTCTAGTAGGTTACATCTAATAGAGGCTTTAATAGACATCTGTAGCATTGTCTCCTACCTGTGGAGATGTACCTACAAAAGGCTACAAGATCTTTGTTTTCTGTCTGTGTGTGCACACCTGTGTATTGTATTATTGTGTCTACTTATGTGCTTTTGTCCATATATCAAGTGCATGTTATTGAAATTGGCATATAAATAAATGAGCACTCATAAATTAAAATTTAAATGACAAATAGATTCAAATACATTTTAGTTCATGTGACTTAAAAAAAAAAAAAGAAGTTCAATTTAAATTCATGAACCCATGAGAGTAAAAATGTCTTTAAAATTACAGGCTCACAAATTTTTCTAGGTGATCAGACAATTAATATGGTGTTGGTTTCTATAAAATATCTAGAATGTAATATCCATTGTTTCTAGGATTTTTCTTCAACAGGGAAGAGATGGCTAATACTGTTAACTACACTTGTCTGATATCTTGGTTTTACAGCTAAAAATGAGTAAATTAGATTTAACATCAATGGGATTAATCTTCATAAAAGATCTCATATATACTAGAGGAGACATTGGATTAATTTGCAAAGTTAAAATGCTAAAACATTGGGCTGGGGTCATGGCTCAGTGACAGAGTGCTTGCCTGGCATGTTTGAGGCACTGGGTTAGAGTCTCAGCACCACATAAAATAAATAAAGAACGGTATTGTGTTCATCTACAATTAAATTTTTAAAAAAATGCTAAAACATCAACTGCTAAATATAAAATCAAATATTCTTGACTTCTTAAATTCCGTAATATATTTAAACATTATATTTATATATTTAAACATGAATCATTTCTGTGTCTTCACTAAAAACAAGGTTATTAAGAGTTAAGATTTGGGCCGAGTTGTAGCTCAGTGGTGGAGTGCTTGCCTTGCATGCATGAGGCCCTGGGTTCAATCCTCAGCACCACATAAAAATAAAACAATAAAACAAAGATATCATGTCCATCTACAACTAAAAAAAAAAAAAAAGAAAGAGAGAGAGTTAAGATTCTATCAGCCAGGCATGGGGGTAGTGGCTTGGAGTTGAGAGATGAGGATCACAAGTTGAAAGCCAGCCTCAGCAATAGCAAGGTGCTAAGCAACTCAGTGAGACCCTGTTTCTAAATAAAATACAAAATAGGGCTGGGGTGTGGATCAGTGGTCAAGTACCCCTGAGTTCAATCCATGATACCCCCCCCAAAAAGAGATTGAATCAGGTATAATTTTATATACACAGGATTCAGTTAGGTTTCATTTAAAGTATTATAAAA